TTTTTAAAGATGTAGATGAAAGTGAGGGGTAAACGACACCCCTTCCCACCATCCTGGGTCCCGTGCTGCAGGCTCTTATCACATCCTCCGAGAGGTGGTGCCTGTAGGTGTGAGCATTCAGCCCACCTGGCAGCTCCTTACACACTGGAACACATGAACCAGGACAGGAGCTCACCACACCTGAGTTCTGACTTCAGCCTCACCACTTGTTAGCCCCAGGACATGGACAACTGAGAAGACTTCCTAGATCTCTGTTCCTTATTGTGGAAGCTCCTTCATAATGAAGGATTAAAGTACCCAACACACCACTCACATAGTGAACTCTCAGGGGATGTCCACTCTTCCACAGGTGGCCAACAGGTAGGCAGACGGGACAGTCGAGGACCTAGAGGAGACAGAGTGGAGAAGAGGCCTAGACCCAGCTCCTCCCTCAGGATAGTGCCCTCTCTGCCTTGTATGTACCTAGATACCAACTTGATTTTAATCATTTTTATTATTATATAGATTCAAAACTGTAGTTATAAAAGAAGTAGAATTAAAAGAATATGATGTCATGAACCACCAGCCGTCCACCAGCCAGTTCAGAAAATGAGCCTACAGGGTCCCTGCATGCCCTCCTCACTCTCACCCCTACCCCACCCTCCCAGGTGACTGGCCCCTGAGTGCTGAGTTGATCGGTACCATGCTTTTTATAGCTTCCCCATCTTTGGGGGCTCTCCAGACACACGGGGGTTGGGTGTTTTCTAGTTGACGGGATTGGGGTCATTCCTGCTCAGTTATGTGCTGAGGGTCATCCCCCGAGTGCTGTGGCTGTGCTTCCTCCCTCAGCCCCGCTGGTGGCCCTCCCAGTGCCTCCTGTGTACACAGACATTGGGTCGGTCTTGTCTTTGTACAGTTCTAAACTGCCTGCGTGTTTCCATTACCCATGTCTTCCCAACACTGGGGGGGTGGGGGGGGTGGAGCACTGCGTGGTGGTGCAGTCCAGTCACCCCAATAACTGTGAGGCTGGTGCCCTCTGGTTTCTGGGTCAGCCACATAGGCTTCCCCTCTTGCAGTGCTGTTTCCTGTTTTTCACTTGGGTTGTGTCTTTTTCTTATTTCTTATTGAAGGAATTCTTTATATTCTAGACAGTAACACTTTACCATTTTTGTTAATTGCAAATGTCCCTGAGTTTATGGCTTGGTTTTTTGGTTTGTCTGTTTGCTTCTGTTCTCTTGTGTTGTCCCTTAGTAGACAGGAGTTCTTTATTTTTTTATTTATTATTATTTTTTTTGCGGTACACGGGCCTCTCACCGCTGTGGCCTCTCCCATTGCGGAGCACAGGCTCCGGACGCACAGGCCCAGCGGCCATGGTCCATGGGCCCAGCCGCTCTGCGGCACGCGGGATCCCCCCAGACCAGGGCACGAACCCATGTCCCCTGCATCGGCAGGCGGACTCTCAACCACTGTGCCACCAGGGAAGCCCAGGAGTTCTTTATTCTGAAGTGGTCACTATTCAGTCTTCCCTTAGGATGTGGGCATTTTGTATCTTCTTTAAGAAGACTTTCCTTATGCCAAGGTTACAGAAGTATTCCACTATGTGTTCTTTCAAAAGTGTATTTTTGTCTATTAATTTGGGTCTTTAATCTACCTGGAACTGATTTTTGCATATACTGTTAGGTAGGGGTTCATATTCTTTTTTCTTTTTTTTTTTTTCAAATGGATACCATTACCATTTAATGCCAGCTTTGGACTCGTCAAGTTTCCTTAGTGAGTGTGTATGTTTCTGAGCTCTCTGTTCTGTTCCATGGGTCTCCCTCTGTGCCCGTAAACTTTTTTTTTCTTAATAAATTTATTATTTTTAAAAATTTTTGGCTGTGTTGTGTCTTCGTTGCTGCACGAGGGCTTTCTCTAGTTGCAGTGAGCAGTGGCTTCTCTTGTTGCGGAGCACGGGCTCCAGGCACATGGGCTCAGTAGTTGTACGTACCTAGATACCAACTTGATTTTAATCATTTTTATTATTATATAGATTCAAAACTGTAGTTATAAAAGAAGTAGAATTAAAAGAAATATGATGTCGGGCTTCCCTGGTGGCACAGTGGTTGAGAATCTGCCTGCTAATGCAGGGGACACGGGTTCGAGCCCTGGTCTGGGAGGATCCCACATGCCGCAGAGCAACTAGACCCGTGAGCCACAACTACTGAGCCTGCGCGTCTGGAGCCTGTGCTCTGCAACAAGAGAGACCGCGATAGTGAGAGGCCCGCGCACCGCGATGAAGTGTGGCCCCCGCTTGCCACAACTAGAGAAAGCCCTCGCACAGAAACGAAGACCCAACACACCAAAAATAAATTAATTAATTAATAAACTCCTACCCCCAACATCTTCTTAAAAAAAAAAAAAGAAATATGATGTCATGAACCACCAGCCATCTCAGTAGTGGACCAGGGCTCAAACCCGTGTCCCCTGCGTTGGCAGGCGGATTCTTAATCACTGCACTACCAGGGAAGCCCCCGTAAACTATTTTAATGAGTATAGGTTTTCAATGATTCTTGACTTTTGGGAAGGCAAGTTTCCCTCCTTTGTTCTTTTTGGTCCTTTGATCTTCCATGAAAATATTAAATCAACTTGCCAATCAGTGGATTAATGGGGGGAGACTCAACATCTTTATATTGTTGAGTTTCCAAACTATGCTCTTTTTAAGCATTTATCAATAGTATTTTATAATTTCATAAAGGTTTATATATATATTTTTTGGGAGGGGGCTGCGTTGGGTCTTCGTTGCCGTGCGCAGGCTTTCTCTCGTTGCGGCGAGCGGGGGCTACTCTTCATTGCAGTGCGCAGGCTTCTCACTGCGGTGGCTTCTCTTGTTGCGGAGCACAGGTTCTAGGCTTGCGGGCTTCAGTAGTTGTGGCACGTGGGCTCTAGAGCGCAGGCTCAGTAGTTGTGGCCCACGGGCTTAGTTGCTCCGCGGCATGTGGGATCTTCCCAGACCAGGGCTCGAACCCGTGTCCCCTGCATTGGCAGGCAGATTCTTAACCACTGCACCAACAGGGAAGCCCGATACTTTATATTTTTTGATGTTGTTAAAAACGTTTGCTATAAAAAATATATTTTGCAAGTTTTTATCAGGGTATATGGCAAGGCAGTTGATTTTTGTACATTTATTTTATGTCTACTAATTTTGCTATTCTCTCGTTGATTCTAATGATTTGTACATATTTTAAAACTTTCTTAACAGACTACCACGTGGTGTGCAAATCGTGGCAGTTTTATTTCTTTCCTTCCCGTCTTGTTGTGTTTACTGTTCATATCTTACTGTGCCTCCAACGCCTCCCAGAGCGTGGAGTGGTGACTGCACGTCCTTATCTCACCCCTCATTTCGAAGGGGGTGCCTCCTGTGTGTCAGTGTATGATGTTTGCTATAGATATTTGTAAAAAGAATAAAAAATAAGAAAACCCCTTATCGGATTAAAAAAGTGCCCTTCTATTCCTAGTTCATTTTTTCAAATCATGAATAGATGTTGCTTTTCCCCAAGCCATTATGTGTGTGTGTGTGTTAGATGACGGTATGATTTTCTCCTTTAAACTGGAAATGCATTGAAAGGTATATGATTTTCTAATATTAAATATACCTTTCCTTTGTGGGATAACCTAGTGTGCCTTTATCAATTATGTGTTTCTTACAGGGGTTAATTCTGTTGTTGGTATTGTGTTTAGTATTTTTACATCGGTGTTCATGAGTGAGACTGGCTTGGAATATTTCTTTCTCTTGTTGTCTTTGGATAATCAGTGTAACTGTGGCCTCAGAAAATAAGTTGAGGGAGTGCTCCACTTAGATACACAGGGATTGTTTTTGTGAGATTTGAAGTACATGTTGTCTGAATATTGGGTGAAGCTTACAAATCAAGCTGTCGGGCTGGTATTTTGTATGTGGAGAGATCTTTGACTACCTATTTTAGTTTCCTTCATTGCTAAAGGGCTATCCAGATGTTCTGTTTCTTGTTGAGACAGCTTTGCTAACTTACTTTTGTAGGAGTTTGTCCATTTCAGCTAAATTTTCAAAT